GCCCTCTGATCATCTTTGTGGCCCTCCTCTGGACTCGCTCCAACAGGTCCATGTCCTTCTTAGTTGGAGGCCCCAGGCTGAACACAGTATTCCAGGTGGAGTCTCACGAGAGCGGAGAAGAGGGGGAGAACCACCTCCTTCTACCTGCTAATCACGCTTCTTTTGATGCAGCCCAGGATACAGTTGGGCTGCAAGCGTGCATTGCCGGGTCATGTTGAGCTTCCCATCAACCAACAACCCCAAGTCCTTCTCCTCAGGGCTGCTCTCAACCCATTCTCCGCCCAGCCTGTATTTGTGCTTGGGATTGCCCCAACCACGTGCAAGACCTTGCACTTGGCCTTGTTGAACTTCATGAGGTTCGCACAGGCCCACCTCTCAAGCCTGTCAAGGTCCCTCTGGATGGCATCCCTCCCCTCCAGCATGTCAGCTGCACCACACAGCTTGATGTCATCTGCAAACTTGCTGAGGGTGCACTCAATCCCACTGTCCATGTTGCTGACAAAGATGTTAAACAGCACCAGTCCCAATACCGACCCCTGAGGAACACTACTCATCACTGGTCTCCACTTGGACATCAAGCCGTTGACCACAACTCTTTGAGTGCGACCATCCAGTCAATTCCTTATCCACCGAGTGGTCCATCCGTCAAATCCATGTCTCTCCAATTTAGAGACAAGGATGTCATGTGGGACAGTGTCAAATGCTTTGCACAAGTCCAGGTAGATGACGTAAGTTGCTCTTCCCTTATCCACCAACGTTGTAACCCCATCGTAGAAGGCGATGATATTTGTCAGGCACGATTTGCCCTTAGTGAAGCCATGTTGGCTGTCACTAATCACCTCCAAATCTGGAGCACATTTGACTTATTGAGCTGTTTTCCATTAGTCTCCAACCACTGCAACAGTATTGGCCTAACTCTGCTACAAAGAGCACAAAGCATAGACCGCAGCTAGCAGCTTGCTGCAATGCTGCCTTGGAACCAGATTGGAAAACATGAAGTCGCTGCTTGTAGTGGCATTAGCGGAGCTGTTTCAGTTATGGTACCAGAGGAAGAAGCTTTCAGAAGTGGATACTCAGAGAAAGCAATATCGGTGTTTTTATAACAAGCTAACAAACAAACAAAAAACACCACCCCCCAAAATCCACCACTGAAATTACAATTCAGTTCATTCCCATTGACATATTTTACTGTTGCTGAGTGAGCAACAGTTACACCTTGAATTGGTATTACAAATGGCTTGATGACAAGGAGAGGTAAGATTATCATGTTACTGCCTTTTCAAATCATAGTTGAACTGCGCCAGCCATGGTTTCTAACCAGGGCTGAACCAGTCAGCTGTTAGTCTGTGCTTCTAGCTCAAGCGTTTTCAGTATCAGAGCAACTGAATGAATTACCAACTGTGAATATGACTACTAGTGTGAACATAGATTCTGAGTGTCTTTGCTATAAAAAGGATACTTTAATCACATCTAATTGCCCACATGCAATGAGAAAAATATGAGAATTTGTACCTCTTACTGCAAAAAACAGCTTAGGGGGACCGTTTATTTGAACTGGGATTCTGGGGAGAAAAATACACAGTTTCCTGCAAATAATTACAGGATTTCCCAGTTAAATTCCTGTGAATGTAGCTTTCTCAGTCCTGTGAATGTAGTTTATTCAGTCCATATAACTTGTCACATATTAAATTGCCCAGCTGTCTTAATCTTTTAAAAGGCAATAAGCAATTTTGCAAGTTACATTTTTAGAGTAATACCACATGATCTTCTAAGGCATGTGCTTATTTTTAAGACATCCAAATCTGTATTTGCTAGAGCCAGGCTTTTAAAGAAATACTTGTCACTTAGTCTTTTTCCATATAGCGCCATATTTAGCAATCAACACTTTCTTGACAGGCATACACAAGTGGGGAATTGCTCACGGGGGAGCTGAAGAAGGTTCTTATTGAAACATTGCAGCCCTTGATAGCAGCTCATCAAGAGAGACGGAAGCAGGTCACAGATGAAATGGTGAAGCAATTCATGACTCCACGGAAGCTAGCTTTTGAATTTTGAAGAAATGCGTATGTAACTTACCACTTGATAAACCAAAACCGAGTCATTGTTGTCTTCTGTTGTATGTCATCACTCCCTAGTTATGTACTGCCTGCAATCAGTGCTTTATAAATATTGCTTTTAATGAGTTAATTACAATGAATGTCGGAGTACAGGAAAAGTTTAAAACAGGACTCGTATCTATTTAAAATCACAATATACAAGACAGAATTTCCCAATCTTGCAGAAAAGCATGTCTGTCAGCACAACGCTATTTTATTGTATTTCATGTTGAAAATATAAATAAAACTTCCATTTTGATTATAAAGCCTAACTTGTAAATTGTTTTAGATATGTTGGTAAGAGGTCATATCTCAAACTAATAACTAGTAGCTCCATTTTCTTTTGTCCTGTGTACCTTGGTTTACTAGACTGCATGTCCTTTTGGGCTACTGGGAACATGCTGCACACAAAAAGATAGTGAATGTTACAAAGTAGATTACATGGTGACTTAGGCCTGGCATCAATATGGAAAGAATGGAGTTCTGCGAGCTGAATACGGGAGAAAGAATATCAGCCTGGTTTTGCTATCGTCTTCCTCTTTGACCTGGGGCAAGTCGCAGAAATCTCACTGTACTTTTGTTTCTGCAGCTATTTAACTGGTCTGACTGCCTCTGGAGGGAGGAGATTATCACAAGGTTGTAAAGTTCCTTCATATTCTCAGGTGGAAGATAGTATAGAAATGCAAATTTTAGTTTCTAGTTACAAAAAATACCAAGTGTTAAATCATGCTGTGAAAATGAAGTCACTGCTGGACACAGGGATACTTCTAGTACTGTCTGTTCTGTTTACTGTACTAGGTCATTTAAACTAGGGGTACTTATTTTAAGATGTATTCCAATGAGAAAATACACTTTGTTAAAATACCTCATGTAATAGTTAATTATCTCATTTTTTAAAAAGAACTTCGATGTCTTTGCTATGATTTGTGGAAGAAAAATTCAAATTATTAGCTAATTTTTTTTAATATGTACAGTGCTGAATGCAAACTGTTAGATCTGTCTTGTATTTATATAGAATAGAACGTTACTAGCCCAAACATAGTCTTATCTACATCAAATAAAAATACCTTTGATAACACAGGTGGATATTGATGTGGTATTTGCAAATCATTTAAAAATATAAGGAAGGCACTTGAAAGAGGTGTGAAAGATTTAAACTTTAACAGGTTCTCTACTGGGGGACCTAGTGGACATATATTGACTGTAGCATTCTTTAAAAAAAAAAAAAAAAAAAAAAGCACACTTTTAATGTGACCGTAAACCTTTGAAGTCAGCTGATTTCGCTTGGGTTGAGGGAAAATTTCAAGGGTGAGACTTCTCATTGACTTCAGTAGACCTTGGATCAGCCTGTTAGTACGTGAGAACGTGCTGGGCTGTTTGTGCTGCCTGGAGCTGCTGCCGCTGCCTTCCCACCCGTAGCGGTTCTGTGACACAGCGTACATGTCCCCTCCAGGAATGACCTTGCGTTTCTGAGATGGAAATGCCTGTGTGCCAAGTTGTATATGAAGTGCCCCTGTTAGCTTATGTTTGTGCAAGGAACAAGGAAAGACTGAAATGCAAGGCGAGTTTAGTCCTATTGCAAGTGTTTCAAACTTGTGCTGAAAATAGCAATGCTTAGCTTTTGTCTTTTTCTTTACAGTTTACGTGAGCTGGCATCGCTAATCTAATGCCATTGACTTTAATGTATTAAAGTAAATGTTTACCAGCGACTGTCTCTCTATAACCCACAGACATAGTATCTTAGTGCTAACAAGTGTTTAACAATCAGTAGAAAAGCTTTTTTTTTTTTTTTAAAGCAGTGGAGCAATTCTTAGAAAAGAAAAATAGCTTTTTAAATCCAGTGGTAATTAAACTAATTCTTGGTTACTGTAGCCTTTAATGATGACCTTCCTGTTCTTGCAGTCCACTCTTTGTCATCTTTAACCTATACATGAAAGATAAGACTTAAATTGACTTTTAAGGGGCATTTACAAACTCATAATGCAAATTTCTTCTTGAAAATACTATATGCAGATCTGTCCTGGAAGATTTATTTCATTTATTCAGGAAAGGGAAATATGCTGTAGGAGGAACAGTAGTGTGTTCTATTCTAACTTAGCATATGGATTAATTTTGTAACACAGCAATTAAAATCTGTTTTGAATGTTCTAGAAAGGAAAGTGATAGCAAAATTATTTAGTATTTGTTTACTGAGCAAGCACCTTACTCAAGTACTCCAACAAATTCTTACAACCATGCTTCTGAAATGATACAATTTCTCAAAGGAGTTTTGGCAAATTCCTAAATCTGTTGTAATTACAATTCATATCCCAGAGGTATTTAAAAGTCAAGACAAGACAGGCTTCAAAAGCATGCGTGAGATGTCTAAGAATGTTATCAGGCAATGTTCATTACATTTTCCTCAATTTGTTCGTATTTTGTTTATCTCACTGTAATAAAAATGTAGATAAGTCTATACCAAACTTCTTTGATTTTACTCTTTTTTTTTTTAATTTTTAAGAGGCTTAATTTATACTTACTCTATTTTTGACCTCTCTTCCTACCCTTTTAGGTGTTGATTTAGTCATCTGATGGAGCTGGTTCTTGTTTTGATGTCCAGTGCCTTTCAAGTAGACTTCAGATTGCTCCCAGAGCAAGCCAATAAGGCTCAGTTGTCCAAAGATTAACTGGTTGCAAGACTGGATGTTGCATTTCCCTGTGTACAGCAGCCAGCTTAGAAATAGGGGAAGGTCAATGATGTGACCTGTTTACAATGAAGCTTCAGTAGGTTTGGTGTAAAGACTGGTACTTTAGTGGAAACATGATACTCCACAATTGCTGTTGTCTGAAAAGCACAGATCCTGAATAGCTTCACATGGCTCTTCCACAGTCACCAAGAGGCATGCTGAAACCTACCTGGATATTCATAAACATTGTCAGAGAAAACAGGAACTATCAGCAACATGAAAACACGAAGCAGAACGTGCCTTCTAAAGAAAATTTTCTTTTTTTCAAGGCCCCCAACTTTGTTACTGAAAGAAATCTTCTATACAACAAGCTGCGGTCCCTGTAGAACATAAACCCAATATCAGCACAGCAAATGTGGTGTCTTCATTCGTTAGCTGGCCTTCAGCTAGCTAATTTATCAGAATAAATAGTTCTGTGATTATCAGAGTAGCTGAAGGTCAAGGTAATACAAAGAAATCAGAAAATAAAGCAGTCAAGTTCTGAAATCCAGAAGCCAAACACCCAGCTTGGTGTGTCTGTAGTGAAGGACGTAATATGTATGATGTGTCGTGTCATTAAACAAAAATTGGTTCATATTTATGTGCCTGTGTTTATAGTACTTAGACAATTCCTGTACCTGTTGGTAGTTTGTATCAGTGTGAATTAGCTGTGAGTTCTTGCTCTAAGGCAGGTTGTCACCCATACACTGTGTATATTTTTTTTTTCCAGTAAAGGCTTGTGAACAGGATGGATTGCAAAGCAGATACCTTCCTGAAATAAGCTGCCTGAAGATACAACTTACCTCTCGTATAGCATTTGTTCAGGCCACATGAGAATCTGCTTTTATATGGTGCTGAATATCCTGAGGCCTACAGTTCTCAGCCCCTCATAGAATC